ATATATAGAAGCTGTTACAAGCTGAAATGTAAAACTTTTGGTCATCCATAGCTTTGACAAAGTGCAGTTCTTTGAGGAAATTATATACTTGCAGAAGGGAATAAGAAACTTATCTCTCATTAATGGATTTTTAGATAGAATAAATTATTTTCCAAAGATGATCAGGGATTCTGAATTTTAAAATAAATGTCAGTGCTCAAGACTAGTTCTTGCTGAGCAGTTTTGGCTATAAAAGGAATGAGCTGTAATGCAGTTTTCATTCCACGGATCTTCTCTTTTGTATGAGCTTAAAAACAAATACATGTTTTATCCTTGCAAATACTTCACTTCAATGGTACTGCTCAGATTTATCACATTAATCATACATTATTTTTTTCAAAGTCATTGCAGTTGTATGTATCGTGCAGTCATACACCTCCATGTCCCGCTATCAGTTTGCATCACAACTTCCCATGCCAGCATTATACCCCAAGCTAAATGATACTGTCATTACCAGATCTGTGTGTGTTTTATAAGATCTTAGATAAAGAACTCTATAATTTCTTGTAATTAAGACCAAATTTAATTCCAGGCATGGTTAAGTGTGCTGTGGGTGAAGATAAAGAAATGTGTTGTGTTTAAAAATAAAGTTGATAACTTAAATTTTATTCTGTCAGTGTTACTAGTTGCAGATGTCTGTCAGTGTAATGTAAAATCTCTTTTCCTGTGTTATTCTGTACTAATGATAACATGCTGTAAGGCAAAAAATCAGAAAATAGAGACTTCAACTCAGTAGATAAGAAAAGGTAGAACTTGTATAACAAACAGGTTTAATTTGCAGATCTGTAATAGTATTTTGGCATTTTTTAATACTCAAAATATTTCCTTCTCACCCCCCCCTTTTTATTTTAAATCTGCTCCACCTATTTTCCAAAGAAAATGAAGGTTTTCTCTTATTTGTTCTATCCACTTACTCATTCCCTGAGTTTTGAAGTGGTGGCTTAGAGATCAAATTAAATGGTCTCCAGAGGAATGAGAATGGCAGTATTTGTCTAAGAAATGGGGAAGACAAGAAGCTAGTTTTGTCCTTTTAGATAAGTTGAAGTGTCAGTTTTGGCCTTTCTGATTTGTTGTAGGGAACACCTGATGATGTCAGGTGTTGATTTTAACTTTTTCAGCCCTTGACATACATACCTTTCTGCCTATGTATTTCTAACTCTTATGTCCTGAAGTGGTATTTAACAAGCTTAACATAAGCATTTGCAATTATCTAATAGCACCTGAAAATTGCTTACTAAATGACAGGAGGAAGTTTCATTTGCATTCCATATCTGATGTTCAATCTGCTAATCCTCCACAGAGTCTGCCAGGAAAAACAATGTAGACAGACTTGAATTTTATTAAAATCAGAAATCAAGCACGCTGCTTCCTACTCTTCTATTACACACTGCAAGATAAACCTCAAAACCTCCTGGAATATAGTAGTTATTTTAGCTGTTGTATTCCTCATTGTTTTCTTGAAATGTGCTTTAGTTACAAGTTCTTCACAGAGCATACATTAACAGCCCTTCCCTCTTGGGTCTTCTTCCCTCACCCCAGGAAAGCTACATCTCCATGTTTGCTTTTGTTTATAGAAGTTAATCTTCTGTATTGTGACAGTTTTTTCCTTCATTAATGAGAGTTCCTAATTAGGCATAATGAAATGTTTACTCATGGTACTAGATAATATTATATGAAAGCACAACAGAGATAAGAGGCTATGAAGAAAATAAGCATTTTAAAGATTTTGGATAAGATATGAAAGCCATTTTTTTTGGCCAATGTTTTCCTATTTTATTTGAGAATGACTTCTGGTGCAGCTGTGTAACTAAGACTATGTCAAACAACATCCATTATTTATTGGCCTGGTTAGCAAACAAGGACACCTTTGACTACAGCAAATTGTGAGGTCAATTTAGTGCGCTTTACAGCAATGGAAGACTAGGGGTTTTGTATTTATATTCTCTAAAATTTTCCATTTGGCATGAGCTTCTCTGGGGAAAGCAATTGGAACTTGGGGGAAGGGAGCAGGAGAAAGCTTGAATTTGTAGAAAGCTGGCACAAGTGTAATTGTGCCTTTTATTTGCTATCCAGGTGCATCAGATCAAGTTACAGACCAGCCTCCCCATAAAGGCAAATTTTCCTCAACCTGGTAGAAACTGCAGAAAATACATGTTAAGGAGATAAATTTTGCAACTGTAATGCATTTAAGTGATTTAATACCCTATCTTCCTACAGAGTAAAATTGGAAGAATTAAATGCTATTGAGCTGCCTGAAATACACTGAAATTTGCTACTTGATTAAAACTGGCTTGCCAATTTAAAAGTAACTTGCTTGTGCTATTCAAAGGGCATAAATAGAGCTATTTTGCAAGGGATCCGTGAAGAAGGATGTTGGCACTAGAGGCACAAAAAAAGATTCTTCTCATAGTTTTACCAACAACCCTCAAGCAGCTTCTGTGCATTAAGGGCCTGATGCTGCCTTATTGGAGTCAGTGAAAACTGGATCTCTGATCGTCCAGGGACACAAGAGCAAGGTAATTAGGATCAGGAAGGTGTGGTTCTGAAAACTGGTGCCTACTTGTAGTGGAGTTACTATATTTTTAATTCACATATTGGCATCTGTTTCTGTACTTTTTATTTTATTTTATTAAAAAAAATTAAATATGTAGCAGTTCTGATTTTGAGCTAGTACTTATTCTGCATGGAAAGACACTTTATGGTGTCCTAGCAAAGGATACAGAGACTGAGATGGTACCGAAAGATTACTCTGTCACTCCCTCCCAGGGCTTGGGGACCAGCTTATCCTGGCACAAGGAGTAGTAGCTTCCAAACAGGCTTGGTTTACTCCAGCGTTCCTGGCTATGCCATCCCCTTGCCTCTGTCTTCCTCCGAGTGGAAAGGCTGAGCAGGGGGAGGTAGGGAAACGTGTCTCAGCACAGTAAAACTCCACCTTGCTGTTAAAAGTAGCTTTAATCTCTTTCTGCAGAGTAGTGGGATAAATGGGATGACTGTAGGAATGAGGGTCTGTACTGAGTCAGACAAACGACTTGTCGTTCCACGTTTGGACTCCAGTAATGGATGACAGGAGATACCTATAGGAAAGAATAGGAAAGGACAACCTGTAAATAGAGTGTCAGGAGGGATGTGTCTTCTACATCAGAAAAAGGGGACATTACTGCAGAGCTGGCTAATTCAATAATGCATAATTGCATTTCATATTCTGTGCTTTGGGGGTATTTTTGTTTTCAAATGGCCACGTACGAATTCTTCTCTGTATGGGGAACAAAGATCTCTTAAGTTAGCCTTTATGCATCTTTAGCTGTTAATTTTTTCTCAGATTGGCTATTTTCATGGAAAGTATAATTTTATAGAAGTTATGCTAATGTATTTTGCTTCCAGTACCTATGACATTTTGTTATTACATTGACTTTAACGCTTCAACTCATTCAGAATAATGGTTATGGTATTAATGAAGGGGTTTGGTGCACATACAGTGTTTCGGCTAATTAGTTCCTTCAGGACAGAATTGTGATGATCTGTTGCTGTTTGTTTTCCACAGATTCTTCTTAATCCTGGGCTATTGTCAGAAGAAATCTGGACCATCCACAGAAAATAGTGTTGGAGGTACATTGCAAGTAGAGGTATGCTGTGGCTTTCTCAGTATCTACTGAAATACATTCATAAAGCCATGATTTAAAAAACAAATCTTAAGTAGGATGGCTAAATTCCCAATGCATAAAGTTGAACTTTCTGTTGATTGGTTTGTTGGCAAAACCATCTTTCAAATAATTCCTCTCCGTGTCAACTGGAAAAACAAAACAAAAAAAACAACAGGAAAAAGAAGGAAATCCTTTGACTTCTCTGCCATGGTCTGGAGTACCATTTTCAGTTCAATGCTTGGATTCACTCAGAGCTTTCTGCGCAGGCTCAGTGTACATCTACCTAGGCCTGTGCAGGGGTGCACCGAGAGATTTCTGAATGAATGCACTTGGCAGCTCAAAGCAACATCTCTGGTTTGGCGGGAGCCTCCACTCCAGCTTGTTTCTCCTGCTAGGATTTTGCATGGGCGGAGTGCCATTTAAGCTGATTCTGCTTTTTAATATCTGAACTAGGTCTCCAGTATCACTGCAGTTTGCTATGCATACCTGTGTGTATATATGTATGTGTGTACATCTAAATATCCAACTGACCAAAATGTTCATTGATCAGTTCTTCTCTATGAAGCCTTACCAAAGTACCTAGGCGGCCCCAAATAAATGGGCAAAGCACACCCAAAACATGTATCTCATCTCTCTGAACGTTCTACTTTGCAGTTCTCCAAAACTTGTGTACCATCACCAGGCATCTTCCTTAGCATTTCCTTGGCATGCACTTTAAAAAGAAAGAAATCTCATTTACACTCATGATCTTTAATGCTGTGCCACTGATAAGTGCACTTACAATTCAGATGAGATAGCTTATCTGAAGTCAACAGACATACATTGGTCTATATCGGATAAGGAATTGGTCTTGGGTTCTAGGCTGTTGGTGTTAAAAATGACATTTTCCTGCATTTTGCTTTCTGTAATGGTATTGTAATCCTGTCTGTTTGTAGTAGGATATAAAGGAGCTCAGTTTTGGTGTTGATTTTTAGGAATGCTTACAAGGAAGCTATAAGGTTGACATTGCTTAGAAGGACAAATAGATTAAAGAAAGAATGTTAACTTTTTTAAGTTTGTGGAAATTTAAGTACTCTGTACAGGATCCTGGCCAGCAGAAGGCAGTAACCGCTCAGCTTTGCATTGTTCATCATTGCGTGCTTGCTTGCATTAACCATCTTCACAGTATAGATCTACAGACTGAATTTTCAAGGTTTCAGGAGTAGTTCATAGCAAATTTATTGTTCTACATGCTCAGTTCTTTATGATTTCCCCTAATAATGTGTTCCCTTTCTTTCCTAGGCCTAAGAGTTTTGCTTTTCATGTACAATAATACTCAGCATGTTGTTATTCTATCACATGCTAGCCAGAGCCTTTCTTCCGTTCTTCATCCTGTCAGGAAATTGGGTTTCAGCTGAGAACATCAACTTTTACAATGTGAGACCTCCACTAGACCGTAAGTAGACAGTTATGCTTTTTTTGTGTATGCAATTGTAGCTTAACATAGTTAATTGCCATATTCTTTCAATCCTTTGGTTTTTAGGTGTTTGTCTTCTTCAAATGTGAAGGATAAAAAGTTTAAAATAAAACTTTAGCTTTTCAACCCAGAGCAGTTTAGTTTATTTCTAAGATTTTATAAGTTGACTGCATGAAAACAAACAATTGCATGCATTGCTAAATTAAAGAGTGCATGAGGGCTTTCACATTTGAAGTGCTTTTGTGTTATATTTTTCTGTCTCTGAAATGTCTTCCTACAGAGCAAATTATGCAGTGGATTTCTCATAAATAATAGAGAACAGATGTTTTTGTCTTTTATCTTGTTGGGGTTTTTGTAAGGGAAAGAATAGGTGTGCTGTACGCAATTAATTCCAACTCAAGGTAATTAAAAACCTTGTGAGACCTGTGAAGCCAGTTGTCACTAATAGCATCATTTTTTTGCCTCTTATCTAGCACCACAAGTGTTCTATCCCTTCATTTAAGGGGAGAAGATTTTCATTACATGTATCATCAGAACAGTCAGTACAGCTAGATATAATAGGTATATATGTGCATCTAAGGAACTGTGCATCTTAAAATCATTTATATATTTATATAATGTAAATAAGATTTTAAAATAGTCCTCAGAGAGATCCCTTTGTCAAAGGGATCAAAATTCTCCAGAGTTGGAGATCAAGATCTGAAGCTGGTTTTGAAGATGTAGTTTTTCATCAAAGGAATCAAAAGCCATTTGAATGTAGATTGTGTTTGTGTATCTGTACAAACATACATGCGGATGTAGTATCATGTGCATACATATAAGATGTTCTCTCTTTCCTGTTTTTCCCACCACTACTTAAACGGTATTTTGGATTGAGAGAGAATGAAAACAGAAGGAGGTGTTTAAAGTTCAGGCATAGCGAAACCAGTTAAAAATGTAAAAGCTTTCAACAAAACTTATTTCATATGTTTTATTTGTCTAACAGTGATGTATCATTGAAAATATGTAAATGTATGTAATTTTTTTAAGTATATGTGTGTACAAGCACTTAGAGTGTTATTTTGAACATTTTATTTTTTTCTTAATACTTGCAAACTTACTATATTTTAATACTTTTAAAGCCACTCCGTTTCCAAACAGTTTTAAGTGCTTTACCTGTGATAATGCAGTGGACAATTACAACTGTAACAGATGGGCTGAAGATAGATGGTGTCCTGAAAGTAAGTGCGTCTGTACTAAGGAGATTCTTTATGATAGTTAAATTTGCTTCTCCCTGACTCAGCCATCTTGTAGAAATCTAACTGAATAGGATTAACATGCCAACACAGTGGTGCCCTCAGTTGTGTTATTAGTAATACTGAATCATACGATTTCTGCTGAGGCGAATATTTTGACCATTTCAGAGTGCAAAGCAACAGTAAAAAGCTATTTATATCTATCTATATATGTATAAAACATTGTATATAATATATAATGCATTATTAATATAGTAGTTAATTTATTGTTAATATATCAATAACATATTAATTAATTTTATATATGTGTGTGTGTATATAGCTATGTGTTTCCTAGGAATTAATTTTAAAGATGTTTAAAAAAACTTAAGAATTGCCTTTGTAGCCTCATCCCCTTCCTTTTGGATACCATCCCAAGTTATAATGGTCTCTTTAGGCTATAGGCTTGCTTGTGAGGAGCAAGACCTGAATGACTAGGGATCATACTTGTATAGGAGAATGATAGATATACAGAAAAGAATGGAAATATGTTTCCTCATTTTTCTTCGCAGCGATATTCACAGTAACAGTGGGAAAGGGGAAGAAACAAACTAAAGGAATGAGGAAACGTCTGAAACAAAGCAAGAATGTGCTGCAAAAAAAGAGTAGAGAATGGAAGATAAACGTGTAGATTATAGTGCTAATGAGTAGTTTAAATGATAGCAGCCTTTCTGGAGGTTTGTAGGGTCTGTTAAGCTTAAGATTTCACCACCAATGAATTTCTTGCTAAATGGTATTTTGATCAAGTTGAAAAATGGCTTTATACAGCCCAAATAAGTAATTTTTTAGGAATATTTTGCTAAACTGTGTGAGGTTCTTAAACCCTGTAAAAGAATGAATACTTTATGCAAATAAACATTTTAAATTTTATTTTGTAGATACTCAGTACTGTTTGACAGTTCATCTCTTCACAGACCATGGGAAGAGTACATCAGTCACCAAAAAATGTGCTACTGGAGAAGAATGCCATTTTGTAGGCTGCCACCGTCACAGGGAAAGTGGCCACACAGTAAGCACTACTCTTTGTATAAAAGCAGCACATTGGTTTTGAGGTTTGCATTTCAGTACTTGTTTTTCCTGCTGAGCTGAAGAGGATGTGCCAAGATATACTCTGCAGTATTTAACAATAGAAATCAAATTTCTGCAACAGAAGCATGACTACCCCTTTCTTCCTACTTTCTTATTTGTGTTGCTATGAGACAGGATGTACTAACAACTTCTAAAGAAACACCTGAGCTTTCTGGGGCATTGCTAGTGTGTACCCAATGCATTGGCCTTGGTTTCTGAGTTCTGAGTAAGGTGCCCAGGTAGGCGATGCAACCTGCACCGATGTCTGTGGTGCTGCGGCTGTGTCACTGTCAGCCCTTGGGCAAGCCAGACTGGGAGTTTGGTACGCCAGTCATGTCTCTGCGTAGCATAGCTTGGATAACACTGCACGGTACACAAAGCAAGACTGTATTTGTCCACGAAGGCCATCCTCTTAAGCAAGATACAACTGAGGTTTTTGTTTCATGGCAAAAAAATCAAGCATATCCCACCAAAGTATTATTTACTGCAGTAAAGTATTACCCACTAATTCCTAAATAGTTGCGAAGGTCAGTTTTGTTATTTTTAAAATGAAAGATTTCAGACACCAAAAATGAGGCAGACAACATCCATGCTAAATATAAAAGGATCTGTATGTTAGTTGAGTCGACTACCATTGTTTTCAACAGGTTTTGGTGAACTGAGGGTGTGAAATGACTATGCAGCCTACCTTCTGCCACATTTTATCTTAGAAGAGTTCTTGTGACTTTGGATTAGGTAAAAATTGGCGTTCTCTTGGCTTTTCTAGTAAGGACTGTCAAGTAAGAAAAATTATTTTCAGATTCCCTCCTGAAAATCAGCTGTGTCAGTGGTTCTGTGGCACTAGAAAACTGAAAAAAGAAAGTCTGAAGTTCAGCATGCAAAGCTACACTGAATACAAAAGCTTGAGGGGGAAAATGGATGGGAACAGAGTTTTTGCAGTCAGAATTTTTTATCTTAAAAAGCTGAAACTCGAAACATTCAAATGCATGTTTTTAGCTCATGTGTTAGAAAGGGGAAGTGGTGGAAAGCTTTCTCCATTTTCTACAATGTTAGTGAACTTGTCAGTACAGCTAACGTGGCTGTATTACATCACATCACAGTTTCAAAGCCCAGTGACAGCACTAGGTGATAAGTTACTCTAGGAAGGCTGTGCTGCAAGATTTGGAAGAGAAGTTGTAGCATATATGCTCCATCTGCTGCCTTGGGTCAGGCTGCCAGGTGGAAGCGATGAGTCTGTTTAGCTGTAATCTTTGCAACCAGTTGAAAGAAGTTACATCTCTCAAAGCCACTGCTGAATTACTCTATGTCCAGTGATCTCCTTTTTTCTCAACAGGAATGTGTTTCTTGCTGCGAAGGCATGATTTGCAATGTAGAAATACCAACCAATCACACAAATGCAGTATTTGCTGTATTGCATGCCCGGAGAACATCGGATGGCAGCAGGCGGACAGTCAACGTGGCAGTGCTTGTATCAGTCATGATGATCACGTTGTTGTGATGCACCATCTTCCCATTATATCTGCTTGAGAGGGTCCACTTTTCTGTGGGCCATAAGAAACTGTAAGAAGATTGTTACAGTATGTGCAAGGAGAAATCACTGATGCTTCTTAATTATGGAAAATGTAAGGGGACAGTGGAAAGGCAAGAGTACATCATGAAGTCCTTGGATATTTTAGTGAAGATACTTCATATGGCCTGCGGTATTTGAAAAAAAACAAAACACAACAACCCACTGCTTGACTAGGCAGTGGGGTGAACTCAAGTTGTTATAATTCACTATGTTATGATGAAAATGCACATATGCTTGGCATGTTTTTTGAACAGAGAAAAGTGTCTGTAGACAATCACTTTCCCAGGTGAGATAAAAAGGAACTTTTGATGGGCAATGCGCCAACAGGTATCTCAATGGAAACTGGTTTTAAACTGGTTTTCGTTGTGCATAAATAACATGGAGTTTCTTGTCTCGATCAACAGGTGTATTTAAGCTTATCCTTAGTTATGGTTTTCATAGAGAACATGTATGGTTTTCATAGAGAACATATGTGTGAGAAATTTTTTTTCTGTTTTGATCAGAGCTATCGTTTCTACTGGAAATAATACAAAATAATACTTTATATCTTTCTTTTCTGTAAAATGTTGTCTCACACTCAGATTTTAAAACGGTGTGAAGTTATGTAGAATTTCTGTCTAAAAATTATGAACTGTTTGAGCACCTAAATCAGAATTCCTTTCCCTCCCACAAAGGGATTATTTTCTTGCAAGAGAATCTCACCCCAGCTGAATCTTTGTCTTTGTGATATTGTTCAAAGTGGTGGTAATGCCATGACTTTGAAATTGCAGCTTTGGTCAAGCAGCTACATTATCATAAAAATTTTAAGTGGGCACTTGGTATAAATAAGGAGAGAAGTCTGCTGTGTTCTCTCTTGATTTGCAGAAGTTTCTCCCAGAAATGTTACTGTCCATGATGGATCTTTGACTTGTAAGTCAGCACTGTTGGATACCCCAGACCTCTGGACATCATTGTTAGGTAGCTTTGCCACCCCCATTTGAAAAATTTGGGCCAAGATTCTATTTTTCATTACAATATTGGGGGGTTTAATGTGGTTTATTTGCAGTTTGACCATTTGACTCCTTAGGTTTTAGATGCCTGTTTACCAGTTAGATGAACAGCTGCAAATTTGACAAATAATAGAGTTTAGATTACAGTTAGATGTACTAAAATCTTCTTTGTTTTCCTGTGTAAACCTTGTGATGTGGACCAGCATAAATGAGCCACTTGTGTGAACTCTCACACCTTCTAGCACAGAACAGTGCTTTCCAGGGCTCTGATAGATCGAGCTGTTATAGACTGGCCTAAACACAGTCTTTAATAGGTCAGACTTACAGCATCTGCATTGGCTACTTCATTAATGCTTATGTTCTTTGCACTGCAAACGCCTTGATTGTAGAGACCAGCAGGTACTGATATTATAGGACTTCTCAGTATGGTTTTATGTGATCCAAAATCCTAACAGATTTCAGCTGCTCCTGTTTGCCCAATTGTGTTTCTTCCAACTCCTTGCCATCTTCATAAACTTTCTCTGACAACCTAAGATACTGTAGCACAGCTAAGGATTTCACCCAGCAGGGCTGAAGAACTGCATTTCACTTTTTTACATAAATATTGGCTTAATTATTTTCTGTCTTACGTTGCTAAATGTATTTAGACTAGAACTGAAAAACAGATTTTGAAATGTTTTCAGTTTCGTTTACGTTCTAAAATTGCCTACACAATATTTTTAGAATATATAAATATGTCTAAAAGTCAGTCTGTGATTTGTTGACAGGCAATTGCGTAGTTTCAAAAACTGGATGGGAACACTTTTTCCTTGCCGATGCAAAATACCTCTCACTAAGTCAAGGTTTTCCAAGTTCTGGGTTCTGATGACCATTGCTGTGCCATGCAACAGGCCAAGATGCTGAGGATGTTTTGAGGAAATTTTTCCTTTGTGATCACCTCTAGGTAACATATCTATAGTATTAATCTTGGTGTCAGACATAGTACATTCAGTGTTTTTCATCATTAAACATCATCTTTTGCTACATGATCTACAGGGTGCTTGAACTTTTTTCGTGTGGGAAAATCATTCCAGGTTTGCTCTCTGCTCAATGGCGAATTCCTTAGTAAAGTGAAACCAGTTGTCTTCCACGTTTTGGGTCATGGTATTTTTCCTGGTTTTGCCTCTAAGCACTAGGTGCTCCCATAATTCAGTTTCTGGGAATAATTATTGCAATCTTAACAAGGCCTTAAAGTACCCTATAGTCTTATATGAATTTACTGAAAATAATTTCCAATAATCTAAGTGCTGACATTTGTTTACACTGCAAATGCCATTCCAGAGCATTTGGGAGGCCAGGGAGACCCTGGAGAGCTGCCCAGAGGGAGGGTGCAGGGGCAGAGGAAATGGGCTGCAGGTTCTCTGCAACTGCCAAAAGACCTTTTGGGAGGGGAGGTCTCCGTCTGTTTGTTTTTCTTCGTTGAACATCCCCCCCCCCCCGTTTGCCATACTGAAAAGTTAAGAAATCCACTCATAATTTAAGTACTTAATGCATTTAGTAAAGAATTGTTTGGAATTAAAAAAAAAGAAAAGAAAAAAAGAATTCCACTGAAGTGCAAAAATAGTATGCTTGATTTTAATTGTAATCTTTTTAAAATTAACAATAAAGACAGCAACCTGGGTATATGAAAGGATTTGGTGTTGCCAAAGGTTTATTTTTTAGCGTAATAGAATTCCAGTAGTGGAGGATATTAAGGATGAGTTCTAGTCATCTTGATACATCAATACCTTTGTTATTGCAAAGTTTAGGACTGTTGTTTCTAGAAAAATGAATATGCAAAAGCTGTTAATGCAATGTTAATGCTGCACAAATAGGCACTTGGCTGAAGAAATATAGAATTTAAGAGTGAATATCAATTTTACCCTTTGCTGCTTTTTATGTATGTAAAAACCTGTATGCTTCTGCTTACATTTTATTTTAGGCCAATGTTAAATGCTAACTTTGTAGGAACAGCAGTATGTGCTGATTATTAGAGAAAATAGTGCTAAAATTCACCAGAGTGTGTATTTTTGGCATGACTAATGATTGACTGCATAGGCAATCTTAACGTTAATTTATGGTAGAATGTTTATATTTTATTAAATAGATTCACGTATCAGGTATATTTGCTGTTCAGATACCTGTCTGAAGTACTCACTGAAGAACTTACAAGAGTATTATTTAATTCGAGAAAAACAATTTTCAGGCGCTCCATAATGTATGTATTTCATGCATCTCAATTTTGGTTCACAGATGTTGTACCTTAAATATGTATGACTTGCTAATGCCTAAATTAGCCACGCAACTAATGAAGTTTCTGTAAGTGCACATCCATAACTTTATATGCAGAAATGTGTTTGCTAATACTTCTGTGTACATCCAGCTTCCAACAATAACATGTTAAATACTGTATTCTCACTCAGTAATGGGGCAGATGTTTATCTCCAGAGACAGCAGGCGCTGACTAAAATCATTGGGTGCCAAACTCACGTGCATTCATGGGCAAAATGGTCCCCTTGTGTTGCCCTTAGAACCTGAAAAGAATTCATAAGTAACAGCAAGTAGATTGATTTTTTGCAGTCGAGGAAAGATAAGTATCATTTTATGATCTATGTGTGTAATGATTTTTTTTTTTTTACATTGCACTGGACGGTCCATAGAAGATTTATTTTTAAAAGCTTAAATACAGAAAAACTTCTTCACTATTCGATGTTGGTTTGTATGATGCTTTCTGACTGCAGTGTTACTGTTTTAAATCTTCTCCAGAAATGGCACTTTTAATTAAAAATATTAAAACATTTGCTGGTGGAAAATGTTTGTGGTGAAAAAGATAAAAATACTTTTGCTGCTTAAGACAACAAGACCAGTTGTTGGCATTGGGGAACGTGTTGAGCTCAAATTGCACTGAGGGCAGATTCTGTGGCTCTTTCTCTTCTGATATATGCTAGAAATTCACTGAGGGGCAGGCTAGGAGGTATCCTGAGTACAGCAAGGTAGGAGGGATGTGCAGCTGACCAAAAACATGGGGGCAGCAAGCCTAGACAGGAGAGCATTTGAGCCCTGGGGCGGGCAGGGGGGAACAGATCGCTATTTTGACTTTCCCAGTTGGTGTAATTGTTTCCAGGGTCATCACATTTTGCATGGGATGGAGATCCCCTTTTCCCCAGGCAGTGTAAGTCAGAACCCTTTTAGTGATGTGAAAGAGCTCTGCCACTTCAGAAAATGGAAAAAGGGAGAAACTGTTCATCTCTACTTGAGCCAGCTGAGAGAGATGCCCCTTCCCATCGGTTTCTCATGTATATGTTAGACTCAGAAAGCGTGCAGCAAATCAGCAGTTGTGGATTTAATTCCAGTTTCTAAGTGACAGTCACCCTTCTTTCCTGGCTTTGCATTGCAAGGCGTAGCAATGTAAACATAGCTTTACATTGCATATATAGCTCCATTGAAGAAAAGATCACAGGTACCATTATGGATAATATATGTGTGTATATCGGTGTATCCTGGGAAGACTGCCTGTTAAACTCCTGCTACAGCTAAGGAAACACTGGCAAAATCTTAGTTTAAATGAAATTCTGTCGTGGCTTCAGTACGGTATATAATTTTATCTGCTTTGACTTTTACCAGCAGTGGCTTCAGGAATCTTTACCGATGCCATCCTCCCTTCTTGGAGGGCAGTTTATCCTGATAGAGACAGGCTGTGCCCAGAGGCATTTAAAAGGCACAAAGAAAACTAGATTTCATTTGCATTTCTGAAAATGTGATTGCTGTAGTTATTAGTAAAGTAATTTTTAGTATAGTTTTGTAGTATTTAAGTTGAAAGAAACTTTTACTATTGCATTTAATCAGAAAAGCGTCAAAGCAAGCAGTGTGCTTCTACACAGGCCTCTTAACTTACCAGAAAAATTGAAGTCCAGGTGCAGG